AAGCTTGGGCGGATGCAGGAGGAGGCTGTGAGGAAGAGGAAGATGCCTTGCGCCCCCCAGGTAGGTGAGGAGGAAGTCAGTGTCCCTTTGGGCGGGTGTTGTGCTGGCTCTGTCAGCCAAGCATGGCCCCGGCTGCAGGACAACCCCGCTGCCACCGCCGTCCTGCCGGGGCCGGAGTTGGGGGGATGTCCTTGGGCTTCCCTGTGGGCCGGAGGCAAATCCCCTCCCTGTCCTTGTTGCTTCCTGCCCCAGGCCCCGAACTGAGGACAGAGAGCGCGGAGGACAAATCCCCCCGTGAGACCCTGGTGGGAGAGGCCGTTTTGAAGGGCTCCCCAGCACAGGAAGGCAGCGGGGAGGAAAAGGGCCGGAGATCCCCCCACAGGAGGGGCTCCAAAGCCAGCCCAGGGTGCTCTGAGGAGGAAAGAGCCAGCCTGAGCCGGGAAGGCGGCCGGAGCTTGAGGCAGAGCTCTGAGCTGGTGGTCCCTGAGCAGCCTCCCAGCAGGGAGAAGCCCTTCAGGTGCCTGGAATGTGGGAAGAGCTTCAGGAAGAGCTGGAGCCTCCTCACCCACCAGCACATCCACACTGGGGAACGGCCCTACACCTGTGGGGAATGTGGGAAGAGCTTCAACCGGAGCTCCAGCCTGATCCGACACAAGCGCATCCACACTGGGGAACGGCCCTACAAGTGTGGGGAATGTGGGAAGAACTTCAACTGCAGGTCCAGCCTACGCAAGCACTGTCGTATCCACAATGGGGCACTGCCCTACGCGTGTCAGGAATGTGGGAAGAGCTTCAGGCACAGCTCCACCCTCCACAACCACCAGCGCATCCACACCGGGGAGCAGCCCTACAGCTGTGGGGAGTGTGGGAAGAGTTTCAGGAACAGCAACAGCCTCTGCATCCACCAGCGCATCCACACTGGGGAACTGCCCTACACGTGTGGAGAGTGTGGGAAGGGTTTCAGGCACAGCTCCGCCCTCCTCACCCACCGGCGCATCCACACTGGGGAACGGCCCTACAAGTGCTTGGAATGTGGGAAGAGGTTTCAGACCAGCTCAAATCTCCTCCTGCACCATCGGACGCACACGGATGAGAGGCCCTTCCGCTGCACTGACTGTGGGAAGGGCTTCAAGCAGAGCTCCACCCTTGTCACCCACCGGCGCATCCACAGCGGGGAGAGGCCCTACAAGTGTGGGGAGTGTGGGAAGAGCTTTGCCCACAGCTCTGCCTTAACCTCACACCAACAGACCCACCGTTAAAAGAAGCGCTACGAGTGGCCCGACCCCCATTGGATGATCCATAGGAACTCATTTTGGGCACAGACCTGGTGACCCACGTTCCAGGTGATCCATGCTGGGCACAGACCTGATGACCCCTGTGTCCAGCCCTTGTCCCGACCCCCCTGACAGCGAGAGTGACCCAGGGTCTTGTAACTGATCCCTTGGGGAAGATTACAGTTAGTTTATCTATCTATCTATCTATATATGTAGGGTTCACTTTAGATCAGTTTTGTTTCCCTGTAGAGTAGGTTTGGGGCAGTTTTGGCTCCTGTCTATAGTGATATAAAACCATAAAAATAACACTTCCTCTCTCTGGCTCCAAGCCCAGCCTGTCCCTTCCAGGGGTGGATGTTCCCCCCCCTTCCCCGGGTGGTTCCTTTGCCCCGGGCAGCAAAGCCCCCGCTGCTTCTGCAACTGGAGAGTGTTGGAGCCGTGGACCATTAACATTCCAGTCTCTCCCAGCTCTGCACCCCAAAAGTCGAGTGGGATCAATGTGTCCCCTCAAAGTGACTCAATCCCGTAGCAGTTCATATTCCAGGAAGAATGCCAAAGGGCATCCTGGGACTTGTAGTCCTTCTGTCTCTGTCGCACGTGCGCAGTGAAGTGCTCGGATGGGAGTGCTTGAGGAGGTCCCATGTCACCGTTTGAAGTGTCTGTATAAGCTTGTGTTGATCTTAATAAAGCTAATTGGGTTACTGCACCCCCATGTCGACTGGGTTCGTGCAAGACAAATGCTCTAAATGGCCGCCCCAATCGGGACATTCAACAGGCGTCGGTAACCAGAGGCCAAAGGCCTTGGGACATCTTGCCATGGCATCCGTCCTGATGGAATTCCAAGGAAAAAGGAAGAGCTCCTCGACAAATCGTGCGCATCAGTCACCTCTGCAGAAACAGGACAAAAAGGGAAAAAGGACAAAAAAAGACAAAAGAAGAAAAATCCGACTTCAGCAAACAAGAGGTGACCTATTAGGATGGGAGGGATGTATTCCCACGAGGGGAGGTGTTCCCCAAAAACTAAAGCAAAAGCTGAAGCTATCAGCCAATTTTTAAAAATACTGGACAAAGACGTAGCAGAAAATAAACCGTTGGTGCTCTTAAATTGGATCGTCACAAATGAACTGGGACTTCCATTGATGCCTTATGACCCTTTTAGTTTCTTATTTTTCTAATTTTATAAACTTTATAAGTAATTATAAGTAGTAGAAGTAGATTTTAGAAGTAGCTTTATTATATCCCTCACCCTTTGGCACAATAGTTTACACATTTCCTACCCTATCACCTCATTTTATGTTCCCCATATCAATCCTACCCCTGAATTCCAGTGGAAAATGTTTAGTCTTTTGTCAAGGCAAGGTCTATGCTGTTTAGAGAGCACTCATATCTTAGCCTGAACCACAGAACACGGTCAGAAACTAGGTGACCGTGTACCCTTTGTGCTTTGAAGAAGATGAAGATGATGAAGAAAAGCCCCCAGACCCAATTCCCAGGGGGTGGGCCAGGGGGTGGACCAGGGCAAAAGTTACGGGATGGACAAAACTTGGATTGGTCGGGCAGTATTATAAATTGTAACACCTGAACACGGCCTGCGCGCGTGTCCTGTGATCTTTATGCCTAGGCACAAATTAAACCCTTTTCTTATCTCATCCTCAATTAACTGCTCCGGAGTTGTTTTCCTCAGCACCCTTAGGCATCAGCTGGTGGCCCATACAGGGAAATCAGAGACCTGAGGCTACTCCAGATTGGAAACTTTCATCCTGCAGGAATTCTTCATCAGCCGGCATTTTTTAGAATTCCCGCAGTGATCTAGGGAAGCCCCAGCTCCACAGAACCAAGCACGGAGCACAGAGGTGAGTTAAGAAAAGGGTGAATAAGGGAAAAGATTTTTTTTTGTTAGCAACTGCGGAAGAGTTTTTGTGTTTCCCAGGAGATAGGGAACACGGTGGTACTGGAAAGGCTTGGACTTGGGCCCAAAAGTCACGAGAGTCAATTTCCAGTAGGCGAAAAGGGTTTCGCCGAGTGCAGGTCAGAGTGGATTTGTGTCAGCCTAGGGCTGGGTTTTGTTTCTGTCGGAGGGGGACACCCTTCCAGAGTGCTCTGTTGCTACAAGGAGCTGGGGGGGCTCTGTAGTTAAGTGGTTAAAGTAGCAACTTTGTAACCCTAGAGCTGCAGGTTTGAGTCCCGCAGTGAAAAGTTTTTCTGTGTCTGTTAATCAGTATGGGCAGTACACAATCCAAGGGGAAAGTTACAGAGGACTCCCTTTAGTCCTAATTTTACACCACTGGGACAATCCAACTAAACCTGAAACACCTTTAAAGAAGCAAGAACTGTGTTGGTTAGCTATGAATGTGTGGCCTTCATACGGGAACCAAAGGAGGGTAGTGTGGCCAAAACTTGGAACGTTCGAATTAGATACTGTAATGCAACTTATTATGATGCTACATAGAGAGGAAAAATGGGAAGAAATCCGGTGTGCAGAATTGTTTCTATTTCTTTTAACACGGCCCGAGTGGAAAAAGCAGTACAAGAGAGCCCCGATAGGGAAAAGGAAGCCTGAGAAAGTGTTGGGAGCGAGTCCCGCTGGCGTAGACGATAGAACAGAGGCTGTCGGTTTGGCCGGAGCGGGCACAGCGGCACAGATAAGATCTATAAGGTCGGCTTTTGTTGGAACTGCTTTCGGCGCGGCAGAGCCGGGCGGGGGTAATGCAGACACTGCAGGGCTGGCTAGCTCGGAAGTAATGTCTAGTTTGATCACAACAGGGATAACAGCAGGAGCGACTCCTGGCCCCACAGGGGCAATGGAAGCGGGACCCTCCCCGCCTGTTCCAATGAGCGTGGGGAGAGCAGCCCGTTCCCTTGCAGCTGCCGGTGACTTTGCCGGAGCAGACGGGGTTGTCATGGTAACAGCAGAGGTGAGCACAGGCACAGCAGAGCAAGTGAGAGCTGAAGTTGTGAGTTCTACCAATGACGTGACAAGAACTGTGAGGTCTAAAAAGTCAGCTTTTACTGGGGTTGCTTTCGGCGTGGTGACACCAGAAAAAGTTACTATAGATGCGGCATCTGTTGCAGAGGGAAGGGAGACTTTAGAAATCGCGGCGAGAGATGCGCCAAGACCAGCCAGTGTAGTGACGGCGGCGGGCGTAGGGGTCGCTGGCTCTGACGGTGGCAGTGAAGGTGTCAGCCTCGGGGTGTTTGTGGAACTGAGCAGCCCAGCACCACAGACAAGCGCTGGAGCTGTTGATTGTCAGTGGCGATAGCGGTGTGAGAGCTGTAAAAACGGGGCTGCCCCGATTGCAAGGGGGACCCCAGAGTTGAGTGCTGCGAACACAGCAGACTGTGCTACTGTAGTAGCGAATACAAAGGCAATAAACTGGTCTAAGATGTATGAAGTTAGACAGGATACGAATGAGTCACCCACAGATTTTTCTGAATAAGCTGAAAGATGTCATAAGAAAATACACTGATATTGATATAGAGTCAGACCTGGGGAAAAAACACCTAGTGTATTTGTAGGATAGTCTACAGATGATATAAGGAAAAAACTGCAAAAGGCAGGTGGTGATAAAAAGGATATTGGTGACTTATTGGATATAGCTTGGACACTATATCAGAATAGAAAACAGAAGACAAGAATGAGCAGTGGAGCAATTTTAAGAAGAGATGTTGCCACAGGAATGGAACTCCCAACTCTGAGCACAGGGGAGGTTTCTGGACAGTCGTTACCACAGTGACAGAGCCAGCTGGTGGGGGAAAAGAAAGTTGCTGCCTGTTCCTAGTGCTGTAGGAGTGCGCAGAACCGGACAAAACCAAGCGAAGTTTGTCCCAACTATACTAGCAAGCGAGAAAGGAGGAGAAGACCTGGAGACGGAGAGAGTGAGGCTCAAGCAGGGAGCGGTCCCGAGGCTGCTTAAGACCGTGGCGAGCACAGTGGGGCGGGGACAGGCAGAGCTGGTCCCAGTTGTTGCTTTGGCTGACAAGGAGGCTTTGGTCCCTGCTAGTGTGACCCAAGCAAAGGTGGCAGATGCAAGTGCTGTGAAAGCTCTAAGACCATTAGGCGCGGTGGCACGAGGGGGTGCTGGGGCCACTGACTTTGTGGAGGTGACAGGACCCAGCCCTACCCCTACTGTTCTGAGGACTGCTCCAGGCATAACAAGCACAACTGTAGATCGAGTTGTAACAAAGGCACCGAAAGCTGCGAGAAAAGCAGAGACAAGGAGAATGAATAAGCGTGTAAAACTTCCCCCACCTGTACTAACGTGGAGAGGGCAGCCCTTTCACCTGTAGCTGCTGATCCCACACAAGCAGCTGCCACGGGTGCAAGTGTGGTGAAAATTTTGAAACCAGCCGACAACTTTACGGTTGTCATGACAATAAGAATGCCTGCTCCGATAACAAGCGGAGCAGGACCGAGGCCGAGGGCAGCCAGAGTCCAGCCTATCCCAAGGTGTAGGAGAGGAAGGGGAAGATCACGTGACAGTCGCAGGCGCCGCCGCCGCTCTGTGAGCGCAGGGGCAGCGCTGACCACGGCACAGCGAGAGTAAGTCCAGCCGTGGGACAATCAGAGTCTGGGTTTGGTGCAGGAGCTGCTGCCGCTCCTGCAGACGGAGCGGGGACCGCAGCGAGCGCAAGAAGAAAAAACCTCTGTTCCTGAGACGAGTAGAGCAACAAAGACTATTATAAGGACTGTTAAAATAAGGTTCAAGGTTTTTTTCTCTCTTGTTTGTATCAGTAACTATGAATTGAGTTTAGAACCTAAATTTACATTTGGCTTTAACAAAATGCACCAAACATTCTTCATAAAGGTGAGTACTGAATTTGCACTATGGGTTTGGCAACGAGTTTAAATTATATATTGGATAATTCTTAGAAATGTTTCATTAAGTTTACTTCCACAAACTTACTTCATAGTTACCAAGCTGAATCTGGATAGAGCAGCCATTAATGTTAGTGTGAAATCTGCACAATAGCTTGTTATATGATTAGTGTTAAGTATAAGTAGTAGAGATTGGACAAGATCTTTGAGTCTTGTTTAATCTCTAAAGGGGGGACTGATGCCTTAAGACCCTTTTAGTTTCTTATTTTTCTAATTTTGTAAGCTTTATAAGTTTTATAAGTAGTAGATTTTAGAAGCAGCAGTCCTTATCTCTCACCCTGTAGCACAAGTAGTTTACACATTCCTCAACCCTCTTACCCCATTCCATGCTCCCCATATCAATCCTACCCCTGAATTCAGTAGAAATGTTTAGTCTCTTGTCAAGGCAAGGCCTATGCTGTTTAGAGAACACTCATATCTTGGCCTGAACAACAGAACACAGTCAGGAACTGGGTGACCGTGTACCCTTTGTGCTCTGAAGATGGTGATGGTGATGGTGATGAAGAGAGGGTCCCAAAAGCCCCCAGACCCAATTCCCAAGGGGTGGGCCAGGGGGTGGACCAGAGCAAAAGCAATGGGGTGGAAACACTTGGGATTGAACAGATATTATTATAAAATGTAACATTTCAGGCAAAGCTGGGGTGTGTCCTGTAACATCTATGCCTTGGCACAAATTAAACCCTTTCCTTATCTCGCACTCCATTAACTGCTCCTGAGCTTTTTTTCCTTAGCATCAGCTGCACATGCATCAGCTGTTATGCTTGTTCCTCCAGTGACCACTGTGATCCTACCCTTGCTTTGGTTCTTCCCTAGACATCCCAGGACAAGTCTTGCCCAGTCCCCAAATCCCCTTTCTGGCTGCCCATCATGAGTCTCAGAGCCCGAGGCCGAATCCCCCATCCTCAACTGCAAGGTCACCCTGAGAGGTTCTGCCATTGACCACTTGGTTACAGTTTCCTACAGAAATTAATTTGTTGGAACTTCCTCAGAATTAATTTGTTACCTTTTGGACTTAGAATGGCTTCTTCAAAAACATGGTAATTGATGTCCTCAAAAATGGAAATTCTTTGGAGAAGGAGTTTGGGACTTTAAACTCAAAGAATCCCAGAATGGTTTGGCTTGGAAGGGAGATAAAAGCTCATCTGGTCCAAACTCGGGGATATGGAGAGTGACATATTCACTACCTGAGGCTGCTCAAAGTTCCTGACTTTAGACAAATGCAGGGATGGGACATCCATTTCTCTGGGAACCTGTTGGAGTTCTTGCCAGCCCCATTGGTAAATATTTCTTCATTTTATCCAATATAAAGCTCCTCTATTTCAGTTCAAAGACATTACCCCTTGTTCTGCCACTCA